CACCTAATGAGAAGGAAGGACTCCCTGGAGAAGAGTCTCATGCTGGGAATGATTGAGGGCAAAAGAAGGGGACAACAGAGAATGAGGTGGCTAAATGGAGTCACCGAAGCAGTCGGCGTGAGCTTCAATGGACTCCAAAGAATGGTAGAGGACTGGAAGTCCTGGAGGAATGGGGTCCTTGGGGTCGCAATTGCTTGGAGATGACTTTGCAACTAACAACAACAATTTAATGTTTCATGCACATTCTAGCTACTACCATGTAAAGGACTAATCTCACCATGTCATGATTCATTTGGCCTTTCACCGGGTGATAACTCACCTTTATCATATCATCCATAATGCGCATATCAAAACCTTCACAGGTACCACAAGGGCTTCGGATTCGCCACAAATCCTGGTGGAGGAAAAAAACAAGTAGCTTTTCTCAGCATAGTAAATTCTATTAAAATGCAAAAATTAGTTCACAGTATTAGAAGTCTGCAGTGTCAAATTGTATACTAGAAACTTTATATTTGGCAGAAGTTCTTGGCCACAGTGTGGCTAATTATATAACTGAGGAAGAGAATAGGTTTGCATAGACATTCAAAGTTCTCTATAATTATAGAATACATGTAAACAGAGTGAAGAAGACTGTGATGAAATGACTTCAGATACTTCAAGACGAGGCAATTTATTTAGGAAAAACTTCTAGTAAGCTGGCGAAGGAAGGAAGGAAGGAAGGAAGGAAGGAAGGAAGGAAGGAAGGAAGGAAGGAAGGGTCTGAGGGAAGTCCTGCCTTAGCACTTGGCCATACAGGTACCTCCAACATGAGTGATGTCAAGCTGGCTCTGCCCACCCACCTCACCCCTCATGGTCAAACACAACCCTGTTTGATTATAGAAAGAAAACCAGAGTTTTCTTTTGGTTTTGATGGAAAAAGATTTGGGGAAAAAATTGGAACTTTGATGTTATACATGTTGGCAACACCAAGACTACTCTACACACAGAAATGGAAGGTATAAAGGTATAAAATAACTTATTTTAGACAAAAGAAGTTTGAAACTAAAACAAATTATTACATATCCTTACCTTGAATTCCACAGTCATCAGGTGGAGAGAAGCCGATTGGGGAAGGACAGTCACATCACTGCTGAGATGACTCTCCAATGCCGTCCGGGCATACCAGAAAAATAGATTATGCCATGGCAGCAGGCTCGTAGAGAAAAAGGGCTCAGCGATCAAAAGGGATATCTCAGGGAAAGAGAAGGGGGTGGGGGAAGACATGAATATTTGAACCAGGCCTATGTGGGTAGAAATCCCAGGAAAAAAATTCATCAACAACCCCAACAATCTTTCAACTACTACTTGGTCAATCTCTTCCTATCCTGCAAAGCAGCACAATTATATTCTCCTTGTGGCTAAAAGGGGAGGTATGGCTGCAGTCTTGTTCATTCATTCATTCATTAATTTACTCTTTCATTTCACTCATTGTCTTGAATTGAATTAATGGCCCCTGCAATCATTTCTTGCAGAACACAGAAATGATCTTCAGGGGAAGGAAATGCAACCGGAGAGCGAGATTTTAACCAATTCTCCCAGAAAGCCTTCTTGGCTCACATTTCCCAAGTCTGGGAAATCCAAATTTAGGAAAATCCCCTAAATTGCTGGGCAAGACTGGCTGAAGATTGAAAGGATCCTCTCCCACCCTGGTTCCTCTTCACATCCGTGGCTTCACCACCCTGGCTTCAAGTGGAGGGAAAGCATGTCAGTAGCACATCCATCGCCCAACTAGAATTGCCTGTTCAGATGTCTTACCTTTCTGTCTTCAAAATCAGAGGGGGTTAACAATTCCGGGGGTTTCTCTAGGATTGTAATTTTATCTTCCAAATGGTTGGCCATAAAAATCTTTAGGGGAAAGGGAAGGAAAATGAAAGAAAAACTGTGAATGCTCTTTTGAATAATTTAAAAAAAAAATAGTTGGGGCGGGAAAAGCATTCACAATAAATATGGACACTTATCAAATGTTGATACCGCCCACCATGCTCTCAGACACTTACTTTTGATTTTTATAAAATATACATATCTATATAGATAAAGCCCGGCATGTAAGATAAGTATAGGCTGCTAATGTTTCATAACCAAGCCATGGTGGGGAAATAATGAGTCTATGGGAGTTCACCTGGGAGAGAACACTACACTGAAGACACAGCGACTTTGAAAAACAATGCTTTATGTTTGCAAAATCTTGACAAAAAATACTTATTACTTACTTTCTGCATGAGTGAGCGAGAAAGCGAAGAACACTCCAGCGTAAACACCTAAAAGAAGAAGAATGTGAGATTGGCTTCACAGGTGGTATTCAGCCATTTCTGACCAGTTCAGGCGAACTGGTAGCGGAAATTTTGAGTAGTTCAGAAAACCGGCAAATACCACGTCTGGCTGGCCCTGCCCCCATCTATTCACTGCCTCCCGAATCCCAGCTGATTGGCTGGGCCTTCTTTTGTTGCCCTGCACAGAAGAATGGAGCTGGAAAGCAGGTTAGTGGGGTGGGGAGGGAATGGGGATTTTGCAGAATCCTTCCTCTGGAGTGGAGAGGGAATGGGGATTTTGCAGTATCCTTCCTCTGGNGCACATTTTTTTAAAAATAGTTTTTGCACTCTGCAGACCTCCCAAAAACGGCCCATTTTTCACAAAAATGGGCCCCTTTTTTGCCAAAAAAAAAAGGGGGGGCATGCATAGCCTTTAGGAGGTTTATAGAGTGTTTCTGGGGGGGCAAAATTGAGCAAAAAATGGCCTGTTTTTTACTCATTTCTGCCCTCCCCAGCCCCCAGGAGCAGTCCGGAAGCCTCCCAAAGGCTATGCACGGATATTTTGGTGAAGGGGGCAGGATTTCGGGAGACAAAAAATGTATTCAGTGTATGACACACCCAGATTTTCACCCTCTTTTTTGAGGGAAAAAAGTGTGTCTTGTACTCCAAAAAATATGGTAGCACTATTTTTAAAGGCATGGAAGTGTTGCTGTTCTTACATTATTAGGCTTTTTGTGTTTTATTGTGGTTGAGACTCTAGAAAGCATACAGAGAAGAGCAACAAAGATGATTAGGGGACTGGCGGCTAAAACATATGATGAACGGTTGCTAGAACTGGGTATGCCTTGTTTAATTGGATTGACTTGCAAAAAAATGTCTCACTGGATATACCAAAAGAAATGGCTGATGTTTTAAAAATCAACAGGGAAAATACAAGTGATAAACTATGAAAGTACCCTATATAATTCTTTCTTATTGGATTTTTTAAAAAATAGGCTTGAGGAAGACTCTGCAATGAGAACGGGACCCAGAAGAGATGAAGATAAATCAAATTATATAGCAATATTTGAATGAATTAAAGATTAAGACTTTTAAAAGTAAAAGGAGGTTTATGTGATGACTTTAAAAAACAAAAAACCTTTATAGACACTTTGCCAGGGGGATGGAGAGTTACTAAACTTGTTTATATTTGTTATGTGGAAGGTTGGAAGTCATTTACACATTTCTCTTTCTGTATTATTTTTCTCTTTCTCTTTTTTCCTTTTTCCTTGCACTTTTTACCTCTTTTTCCTTTTTAAAGTTTAGTTTGTATTAGATTTTATTATTGTAATCAAAATTCATCCTAGAAGTTTTACATCATGGATTTCATTTAAAATACATGTATTTAATGTTTTCCCATCTTATTGCTAGAAATTGGGAGGGCCGGATGCCATGATCTTAGTTTTCTTAATGTTGAGTTTCAAGCAACTTTTGCACTCTCCTTAGTGACAGATTTTATTTTGCTGGGCTCCAAGATCACCTCAGATGGGGAGGAAAGCTATGGCATACTAAAAAGCAGAGACATCACCCTGCCAACAAAAGGGCGTATAGTCAAGGCTCTGGTTTTCCCAGTNTTCTTGAAAGCCTCCAGTGATGAAGCTCCCACAACTTCTGAAGGCAACTTCTGTTCCATTTTTTGATTGTTCTCACTGTCATAAACTTTCTCCTTATTTCCAGGTTGAATCTCTCCTTGATCAGGAGGACGCTGCCGGCCCCTTCCAACCGAACCGGTTGGAACGGACCGAGAAACCCACCCCTGTCCAGCACCATAGTTCAAAGGCCTCAATTCTTTGGCGCTCAGCCTTCCTTATGCTTCTACTGTCACAGCCATTCATTGCAACTGGGAAAACCATAACCTTGACTATACACCCTTTTGTTGGCAGGCTGATGTCTCGGCTTTTTAGTATGCTGTCTAAATTTGCCAGAGCTTTCCTCCCCAGGAACAAGCATCTTTTAATTTCTTGGTTGCAATCCCCATCTGCAGTGATCTTGGCACCCAGGAAAATAAAATCTGTCACTACTTACTAAGTACTAAGAATTTAGAACTAAGAACAAATTTCCTGACGGTGAGAACAATCAACCAATGGAACAACTTGCCTTCAGAGGTTGTGGGTGCTCCATCACTGGAGGCTTTTAAGAAGAGACTGGACAATCATTTGTCTGACGTGCTATAGGGTCTCCTGCTAGAGAAGGGGACTAGAGGACTTCCAAACTCCCTTCCAACTCTGTTATTGTATGACTAAGACCAGAGTCTCATGATGTTCTCACTGCACATACAGAACACCCCAAAACCTCAATATTGGGTTTGGGAGAAAGAAAGACCCAGTTTTTCCAACATATTGTGCACTCTCTCCAAAGAGTAAACAGAGGCTGGACCTGCACCATCTGTTACACTGTGATGTGGTTAAGTCTGAATCCAGCCAATTTTAGCATCTTCAACAAATCATGGTGAAATGAGCAATGGTATGTGATCCTAGCCTAAATGTTACAACACAGGGCGGGTATAATATAAGCATGGTGATAATTCTCCCTGTTGGAACAGAGGGGCTCTAACATAACTTTTTTCCAATGAACCTATTCGTTTTTCACAGAATTTGCAATTTTACAAGAAGTTGTCTTCTTGTTCCTGGAAGGCTCAGGAGGAAAAAATAGACTGGTAGGGGAAAATAATATTCCTATCCCCCAAAATTCACTGGGATACATTTCAAAAAGGGAACAGCTGTTCTATGTATATCACTAAATGCTAGTTTTCAGCATACCTTAAGCGAGAATACTGATGCAGAGCTAAAAAAACAGCTAAATTTATTCACAAATGAGCAAGAGCAAAGGTGAAACTAAGCAGAACTGTGAATATTCTATGCACTTACAACAAAATTTCACACACCTCAAGTAAACCGTGGTTAATAAAATTGTTTTTGCATGGGATGTTTGAAAACATCAGAATAAAGTTTTTTCTACATAGATGATAGATGATAGATGGATGGATGGATGGATGGAGAGAAACACACACAGGTTTTGGAGCACACAGCAATGAAGAAACCAAAACTTGATTAACTTTGTTGAGAAGTTTCCTAAGCAGAAAATGCTTTCCTTGGAAAAAGGCTATGAAATGCTAAACTATAATCCTGTAACTTCCTCTCCTTTAGACAAATTTGAAAAGCTTCCTTCACAGCTACCAGATTATGAGCTAAAATGCAGATATAACATAATGTTGTGCATTTTTGCAGCAGAAGGCCCAGAAAGAAAAGATGCAATTCTGTCGATCAGCAAATGGCAATCAGAGAGAGAGAGAGAGAAAGTGAAATATTTCTTAGGTATGGCACTCCACTGAGGTGCACAGTGCCAACACAGCAATCTTATTAGTGCTAGGATGAGAGATTTATCTTCTCCCTGAACATTTCGATTAAGTAATCCTCTAATTTACTTGCGTTTTTAAAAAATATTTTCTTGGATTGTAGTCGACATTTGTATAATTACATTCTGCTTTATACACATCCTTTCTTTTTAAAAAGAGAAGAAGTAGTTCTTGCCATGCAACCATCCATAAAGTGACCATTACAAAGTTGCAACACTTGGGGGGGGGGGAGGTAACGTATGAACATTGCAGCATTGCCATGGTTCAGATGTTTACTAACTGACTCATACTTATGATGGTTGCCATCATGGGGGTCATGTGATCCCAGTTTTGTGACTTTCTGACAAGCAAAGTCAATGGGGAACCCAGATTCACTCAACAACCATGTTACAATCCTAACAACTGCAGTGACTCAGTTAACATTTGTGGCGAGAAAGGTTGTAAAATGGACCAAAAACTCACTTATCAACTGCCTTGTTTAGCAAGGAAAATTTTTGGCTTAATTGTGGTTATGAGATGAGGATTACCTGTACATAAAAAATATTCCGTTCTCTGTAAATCAAGGGAGTAACCTTACCTGATCCCACAGTAACTTCGGTGGAATGCTTGTTAATTATCTTTATTTTGTCACCAAAGCCATTCTTTTCCACTATCTCCACAGCTGTATTGGCCATTGGTTTAAAGACCTGCAACGTAATCATCCTTGGTATTTGTACAGTGCATTTCAACAATTCAAAACACTATTTATTTAAATCTGTCAAGGCCGCCTGCTTCAGTAGACTCTGGGCATCCAGAATACATTTAAATATGCCATCTATATTACCTCATTAATTTTTAAAAGCTCTCCAGTGTAGACCTGTCACTTGGAGTTGAATTGTCCATGACAAAAATCGAGGGCAGGAGGAAGTAGTTTTTATCATGCAAATCCCCAAGTTTTTAGACAAGGACGGGATTTTGCTGCTTGCTTTCCTCTGAACACCTTCAAAGTTCGTTGCTCTAATGCAGGGGTCTCCAAATTTGGCAACTTTAAGACTTGTGGACTTCAATAATTCTGGGAGTTGAAGTCCACAACCCTTAAACAGTTGCCAAGTTTGAAGAACCCAGTTCTAATGCAATTGCTTTTCATTTCTAGCTCCTGAGCTTCACTTCAGCCTTTCTCATTCCTGACTCAGACTACAACTCCCAAATTCCCACCAGACCACTAAAGACCAAGCTAGATGAGGATTTGAGAGCTGCACAGAGGTCCAATAAATCTGGAGGGCATCCAGCTGGAAAAGGCTGAACTGGATGAACAGGAAGTTGCCTATCTAGCCCCAAAACTTAGAGGCCTTACATTGTTTTCATTACTTTCATTCTTGGGGTAGCCAAAGAGGAAGGAGACACAGGGGAAACTGCATTTGATTGGTCTTAAGACCATAAATTTTGATCCTAGTAGAAATTCTACGATTTCTTTTGTTACATTCCTTATTACAGAAGAACCTTCATTGAGCAGAACAGGATCTAGGTTAACTTAAAAAAAAATGGGCGAGTTTCTGCTTTTAAGAACATCTTACAAATCCACTGCTCAGAATGGAACCAGAATCTTCTTTGAAACAGTTCCCATTATATACTCATGTCATCATACCAATGTCTCCAAACTTAGCAACTTTAAGACTTGTAGATTTCAACTCCCAGAATTCTTCCGTCAGCCATCCTGGCTGGGGAATTCTGGGAGTTGAGGTCTACAAGTCTTATAGAGAGACCCCTGCACTATACCAACCCCCCCCCCCCCCGAAAAAAGAAATCAATAAGATCTACTTTCCGGGTTCAAAATACCATCAGAAAATTACTACAGCCAGTTTTGAACATCAGTTATCACAATGCACCGTAGCTAAGCACAAACAGTGTATCTGCTGTACAACTTCCAATAAAGAGCCAGCTTTTTCAAATTAACTTGATGCCACCTTAAAAACAAATCATTCCAGTTCTTTTTTACATTGGAAAGGGTTGACCACTTATTCCTCTTTGCCAACTGGCAAAAGCTGGGTTAAATTTTTGCACTGACCTGGGCAGTCCAAACAAGGCAAATTATAGCAATTTAGCAAAGTGTTCCGACTTTGTGTTCTCACGGCTGCAGAGCTTCTGTTTATATTAAAAAATGCATCTAATTAATGAATGAATCCTGACAAAAATAAAATGCCTGCCACATTGCAAGCTGTCAAAAATGCTTTTCTTTCCTGCCAAAATGTAAATGTGAGACTAAAAGTTGAGGAAAAGCACAGATGGCTACAGACCACTGCTGGCCAAAAAGTCTTTAATTTGTCAATGGTTTAATATAAAAACTAACCAAACCTATCCCCTCAAAATACAAAATTTCCTATCTAATCAGAGCATTATTATTATTATTATTATTATTATTATTATTATTATTATTATTATTATTATTATTATTATTATACAATTNAGGAAGGAAGGAAGGAAGGGTAATAGCAATAGCGCTTAGACTTCTATACTGCTTCACAGTAGGTTGACTCAGCCTTCCATGCTTCCGAGGTTTGTAAAATGAGGACCCAGAATGTTTGGAGGTAAATAGGTTGACTCAGTAAACCACTTAGAGAGGGCTGTAAAAGTACTGTGAAGCGGTACAGAAGTCTAAACGCTATTGCTATTACCCACCCTTCCTTCCTTCCTTCTTTCCCCCAACATTCTAACCACTGGGAAAAAAGGAAGGAAAGGAAGGGAGGGAGGGAGAGAGGATAATAGCAATAGGACTTAGACTTATATACCACTTGGTAGTGCTTTCCAGCCCTCTCTAAGCAGTTTACAGAGTCAGCCTTTTGCCCCCAACAATCTGGGTCCTCATTTCACCCACCTATTCATTTCATCATTTTGAAACTTGTAAGCTAGTGAAGAAAACTGATCAGCTAGGAATTGGAAAATCTTTCTTCGTGAGAAATTTGGAAGTTGACTGTCTTTCTACCCAACATAAAACACAGGTGAATTTGTCTTCTCTGACATAGTTCACTTCTTACCTGTACAAGATGCTTGTGAGCATGTTCGTAAGATGGCAAGGCCCCTTCCCCAATCAGTTCAGTGTCAAACAGCTCCGTGATCAGGATGTTTGCACGAGATTTCATGTCTCCGTCTGGAAAGCATCATACAAAACTCTGGAATTCTGCTTGGAATGTTCCCAAATAAACCTGTTTTATTTAGACTTTTCTACTAAATTTGTTTGATCTCAAAGCATACAGTCGATTAGCAACCATTTAAAGACAGACCCTGAAAAAATGGTACTCGTTGAGGCCAAGATTTCAAGTTTTGAAATTTGTCCCCCATTTTGGCCACTCGGAACCTGGCCCACATTTACAGATTTAACAGATTAATAGAGTTGGAAGGGACCTTGTAAGTTTTCTAGCCCAACCCCCCCCACCCAAGCAGGAGACCCTACACCATTTCTGTCAGATGGCAGTCCAGTCTCTTCTTGAAAGCCTCCAGTGATGAAGCTCCCACAACTTCTGAAGGCAACTTCTGTTCCATTTTTTGATTGTTCTCANATCTATCTATCTATCTATCTATCTATCTATCTATCTATCTATCTATCTATCTATCTATCTATCCTATCTATCTATACCTATATCTATATCCATCTATACCTAAGTCACGAAAAACTGTCCTAACTCACTTTTTTCAGTGCCATTGTAACATCTAGGAGTCACTAAAAGAACTGTTGTAAGTCGAGGACTACCTGTATACTATATTGATACTGTAAAAAGAAAAAATTAAACAGGACAACTTGGTACCTTTTCTGCTCCAAGGTGATGAGCTAAGACCGGGAGAAGGCTACCGTCACTCATGCTCAAGCAGACGCTGTTCGGCTTAAGAACCTTCCAAGAAAACAGAAAACATCTTAGTAGTTTCAACACAAGGAAAAGACTGCAGCATTGATTTGTAAAGACCACAGGTGGCTCCTATTTGATGGCTGTCTAAAACTCTCATCAATCAAGCAGCACTTAACGTATTTCAAGGAAACAAACAGATACATAACTTACAGTAAGCAGACAACAACCTGCAAAAGAAATCCATATCTTCAAGTGATCAGCTCCTGAGAAAATATCCAGCTCACTATGATTTTCTGCAGCAAAATCATAGTTTTCTTCAGAAACGTTTTTTTTTTTTGCTTGAGGATTTAACCCATTAACTTTTTGCAAAATAAGATTGATTGACAATATGGGCATTCATTCAAACAACTGCCCCTCCCAAATAAATAAGTTGGTAGATTTCTTAGAAGCAGCAGCAGATTGGCATCAAGCTAGAAATTGGGAGACCATGAGTTCTAGTCCTCCCTTAGGCACAAAACCTAACCTTGGGCCAGTCACTCTCTCTCAGCACTAGGAAGGTGGCAATGGGAAACCACTTCTGAAATCTTGCCAAGAAATTTGCAAGGACCATTTTAGGCAATCTTTGAGTTCCACTCAAAGGCACAAAAACTAAAAGATTTCTTTAAAAAATATCTAGTCTTCCTTCTATTTCTGGGGAATCCTTTCAGGATACCCTAACAAGGAAAACTCTATCCAGTAAGTTCTTATGATATTTTTCTTCATATGATGCTTGTTGCTTGACAAATTAGGATCAATTTTCAATGAATAAACTTTCAAATTTCTTTGCTTCTACCTCTGGTGTCATACAAGAAACATTTTGTCATAAAAATATGAGCTCTCCTTTTTATTTTTATATCTGCATGAATAATAGCTTATTGTCTTAGCAAGGTAATGTGCAAAATCACAACAATAAATACGGCTGAGTAGTATGACTATGGAGTTGCATTATTGAATCACCAAAGTTCAGACCTTAGAAATTCAGAAATAATGTAGTCTCAGAAATATCTGAGTAAGCTTTACTTCAATCTCAGAAGTTAGGGGGTACAGGTCTAAAGACAAGACAAATCTGATTACAGTTCCTTAGAAAAAAGTGTTCCACAGAATTAGCGTTACAGAATTCAATCAGAGAATTTAATCTAGCTTGTCAATGTTATAGAAGTTACTGTTTTGGTTCAGACTAAACTCAACAATCATACAGTATTTAAATACATGTTTAATAAGGTTAGTGGTTTGCAAAGCTCTAATTGTTGTAATAAGCATGTAGATTCATAACCTTTCATTTCTTAATTTTTATTCTACTGTACGTCAAAGGCTTTTAGGATCTGTCGTATGAGCTGAAGATTCGGAAGACTTGCAGTCTTAACACATTTGAAAGATGCCAGCTTGGGAAACAATGCTTTGCAGAGACATAGAAAAAGGAAATACTAGTATTGTTCGCAATGGAAAGCTAAATAGAGTTATAGGGATAATTCCCCCAGTGAACAAAGCAACCCAGACATCAAGCCAGGAAGTCATCACAGGTGATTCTCTAAATCTTACCTTCTTCAGAGCTTGAAAATAGCACGATGTGCGGTCCCCATCACCTAGTTCTCCGAAACGTGGCCGGTTCCACAACAGGTGGGCTTGACACACACATACTGGCCTCTCGGTGTGTTCAGAAGTCTTTGATCCTTCATTTCTAAAACTGCAGGATTGGCTATTATTAGCAAAATGACCCCTACCTCTCACATCAGCTCTTAAGGTAAAGGTAAAGGTTCCCCTCGCACATATGTGCTAGTTGTTGCTGACACTAGGGGGCGGTGCTCATCTCCGTTTCAAAGCCGTCTCTGTGGTCATGTGGACGGCATGACTAAACCCTGAAGGCGCACGGAACACTGTTCCCTTCCCACCAAAAGTGGTTCCTATTTTTCTACTTGCATTTTTTACGTGCTTTCGAACTGTTAGGTTGGCAGAAGCTGAGACAAGGAATAGGAGCTCACTCCATTACATGGTGCTAGGGATTCAAACCGACCTTTTTGATTGCCAAACTCAGTGTCTTAGCCACTGAACCACCATGTCCCTTAAATCAGCTCTTACTCGAGCCAAAATTATGGAACAAAGGGATGTTTTACAGGGCGGTCAGAATTTCTAGACCGTTGTCCGATGTTCCCTAACAATCTCCCAACTTTCAGAGGTCAAGAAAAGTAAGCTTTTCCAGTCTGACACACTTCATTTGATCAATGGCTCCTCTTTCTATTCCCCACCTTGAGTTACCTGCTTTTTTGAAGCTTAAACCACACAGAATAATCATCATGAAAAGCCGTCAAGTCGACGCTCCGGCCTTGGGTCACAGCTTCCTCATTTGGAAGGAAATATACACACTGCATCCAGTGGTCCCTCCACTGAAAACAATGGGAGAAAAGAGTCGTTTGAAAAAAGCAGAGCGAATGAATTGCCAGTTACTTCCGCAATGTCGTAGGCGGCTTTCGTTGGGGAATTGAGCAGAAAACATGGACTCCAGCAGCAAACAGCAAGATTATTCTTGGTTGGCAAGACCACTGCTTTAGCATTCGTTTTCCAGTTGCCATTTTGCATTTGCTACAGAAGTGCCATTGTGGCAGATCTCCCCCATCCAAATCCGTACAACCTCCAGGGACTGGGACAGAAGCTCAAAGCTTTAGCTGGCTGGCCCAGAGTCGAAGGACATGAGTTGTCTTTCATCAGCATATTGATGATATCAGAACCAAAACAGGCAGATGACCTCACTCATTGGTTTCACGTAAGGTATCCTTATTACCATGAAATACTTGGTGAGGCAACGAAGTGTTAGAAAGCTTACCGGGTTCTCTTCAAAAGTGCTTTGTACCCAATACGGGGCCAACGAGCATTTGATGGACCCACCAGGGTCCATGTCAATCTCCCACCAGGAAAGGACCACTTGAGCTTTGCCAGACTTGACGGGTTTCAGCTTCACTGTGTAGGACGCAGAAGCTCTGCTGACAGGCTTACTGAAATCTATACTGTGGAAAACAGCGAAGTGAAATCAGCTCCTTTTAAATGGCAGATTTTCACCTGGGTGGTTAAGTGTTAAGCAGCATTTATGTATAAGGTAATGGTAAAGGCTCCCCTCACACATATGTGCTAGTTGTTCCCAACTCTAGAGGACAGTGCTCATCTCCGTTTCAAAGCCAAAGAGCCAGCGCTGTCCAAAGACGTCTCTGTGGTCATGTGGCCAGCATGACTCAATGCCAAAGGCGGACAGAATGCTGTTCCCTTCCCATCAAAGGTGGTCCCTATTTTTCTACTTGCATTTTTACATGCTTTTAAACTGCTAGGTTGGCAGAAGCTGGGACAAGTAATGGGAGCTCACTCCGTTACGTGGTGCTAGGGATTCGAACTGCTGAACTGCCAACCTTTTTGATTGGTAAACTCAGTGTCTTAGCCACTGAGCCACCACGTCCCTGTCTGCATTTATGTATGCAGACACATAAACTTACAAGATATACAGATGGTCCTCAACTTACAACCATTCATTTAGTGACCATTCAAAGTTAGATCAGCACTGAAAAAGTGAATTATGACCCTTTTTCACGCAGATGACCATTTCAGCATCTCCATAGTCATGTGATTTACATTCAGATGCCTGACAACTGCTTCATATTTATGACAGTTACAGGGTCACATGGTCACTTTTTTGCAACCTTCTGACAAGGAAAGTCAATGGAGAATCCAGATTCACTTAACAACTGGGTTATTAATTTAACAACTGCAGCCATTCATTTAACAAACGTGGCAAGAAAAGTCATAAATCGGGGCAAAGCTTAGGTTAACAAATTTCTCTCTTAGCAACAATAAATTTTGGACCCAACTGTGGTCGTAAGTCGCAGATTACCTGCATCAGGAAAAATACACACATTGTCAGGGTTCCCAAAGTAGCATCCAAAAGTAAATCAGAGTCCAAGGCAAAGTATTGCTCAAAGTTCCAATTTATTAAGAGAGCCACGTTGGCCCATCTGGGAAAACCTGGATCTGAAAGCTTCCTGGTTTTCCCCACCCAGTTGAAAGTTCAAGATCTTNGCTCACTCCATTACGCAGCGCTTTGGATTTGAACTGCCGACCTTCTGATTGAGAAGCTCAACACCTTAGCCACTCAGCCACCGTGTCCCTTAAATATCACTAAATAATAGCAGTCAAATAGAGCGAAGAAATGTTATAAAAAGGCTCCTTCTTGGCAAGCTCATATCTGGAGATGACAAAAATATAATAAATATGAGATTGAAAGATCAAGTAATACAAGGATTGGAGCTTTTGGTACCCCAAGTTCCTCTGTCCCTTCCCCTCATCTCCAATTCTTGTGAATTGCAAACTGTACCTACATTGGCATTAAATCTAACATTAAAAATGAAGCATTGTGTTCTCTCCGGTCCTTTTATCAAAATTGGCTTCACTTAACACAAAATGGTAACAAGTGAATTCTTGAGAACTCACAAGAACATTGAACTTTGTAACTTTTTGTTACGAGATTCAATAACAAGAAAGAAACTGTGTTGCCCAATTAAACAGTGTTCTATTAAATATTTGCTCATAAATAGGGAAAGAAACAAATAGTTTGCTTTTAATGTTTTGTCCAACTTACTTTTAAGTCAAGAAATATAGTGTACTTTAAACATTAAATATTTAAACACACTTTTCTGCAATTAAGTGTGAAAAGGCTAATTTAGAGAGAAGGATTTAATAATTTGGAAAGCTTGTATTAACAAGATTGATGTTGTATATATGATTCCATATACATTGTGTTTATATGATAGAAAGAGAGAGGTAGAGAGAAGGGGGAGTGGGAGTTAACAGGCTGAGATATTGGATATGCATGTTCTTTAGAGTTGACCAAAAATAAAGGCAAGATAACATTCTAATAATAAGTAAGTTCTCTCTCTTTTTTAAAAAAAGTTCTCTATTGGCTAAAAAAAATATGTAAATCTTAACAGAAATCAGATCCGGATGTCATCCTTTGCAATGCCGTAGAGATGATTCGTGAACGTTTAACAGTATCTGACAACAGTAAAGAAGCAGAGGATTGCTTAAATAAAGAAGAATACGTTTATGATATCTACTGTACGGAAACAGCTACACCGGGGTGGATTGAGAACATTCTCTCTGTACAACCTTACACTCAAGAGTTTGACTTGGTAAGTAAATCAAAAACATCATCTTCTAAGGCAGGGGTCAGCAACCCACGGCTCTGGAGCCGCATGTGGCTCTTTCATCCCTCTGCTATGGCTCCCTGTCATTGGTCAGCTCCACAATTGAAAGGGCTTTCGGTTAGGACAGGTAGAGGAAAAAGGATGCCGCACTAGGAGGAGACACTATGGTGGCGGGACCGGACTTCCGATCAGCAGAGGAAAAAGGACACCGCGCTGGAGACTATGAAAGGGGAACTGGACGTCCCCCATCCAGTGGAGCTCCAGGATTGAACAGGGGGCTTCTGGTTAGGACCTTTGTGACTCTTTGAGTGTTTAAGGTTACTGACCCCTGCTCTAAGAGAATATAAAATATAGTGAGGCTTGTTTCTTTCCTCCTTGTACAACATGCTGTATTTCGTAACTTAGAAGTGATTCAACCTATAAAATACAAGTGGTTCGTGTATCTCATTGCCTTACAAGCTTACACTCTTATGCCTCTGCCTTCAAGATTACTATTGCTAATTGCTTTCCCCTGTAGTGCATTTCTTCTTAAGTGACAGTAGTATTGTGTGTTGACATGCAGATGGATGAAGAGCACTTCGCCGAAGAAATCTATGACGATGAAGATGATGAAAATAACGAGAACAACTGGCGTAATGACTATCCAGATGAAGATGAGTTTCTTGATGAAGGTGAAGGTGCTATTTGTTGATGATCATATTCGTACACAGGTAGTCCTTGACTTAGAACCATTCGTTTAGTGGCAATTCAAAGTTACAACTGCACTGAAACAAATGACTTACAACCAGTCCTCACTCTTAAAACTACTGCATCATCTCCAGACATGTTATCAAAATTTGTGTGCTTGCCAACCAGTGAAGATTGTAGCATCTTTGTCATGTCATTTCTAGCTTCCGGTAAGGAAATTTTAATGAGGAAAATTCCTTTTGCAACATGCCAGAAGTGGTCATATATGGCCCAGTTTTATCTCAGTGGTGTTTTACCTAGAGAACAATCAGTAGGAAAAACTGGAATCCTCCTCCTCCTAACGACCCCATAATCCCTTGCGGGGTGGAGTCTGGGCAACCGAATGGAGTGCTTACTGGCTGGATGCCCTTCCTGTCGCCAATGCAGAGTTTCTTTCAGCAGATATATTCTCATTGTGCCCAGAAAGAGAAATATCTGCCTCTACTCAGTATTGAACTCACAGCCTCCTGATTGTGAGGCAACAGCTCCACCTGTAGGCCACTGCACCGCTCGAAAGTAGGAAAAACTTACTGTATTTTTCGGAGTGTAAGATGCACCTTTTTCCCTCAAAAGAGAGGCTGAAAATCTGGGTGTGTCTTATACACGGAATACAGCATTTTTGGCCTCCAGAAACTCTGCCCCCTTCACCAAAATGGCCTTATATAGCTTTTAGGAGGCTTNATTTTTTCCAGAAATTGACCATGCAGTGCTTTGTTCTGCCAACTCTCTATTATTATTATTATTATTATTATTATTATTATTATTATTATTATTATTATTATTATTATTATTATTATTATTATTATTATTATTTCAGAATCATCAAAACACAGAGGTTTTATTGGAAGCTACCCAAGTGAAAATTAAGTGTCTGCATGCTAATAAGCAGACTCTAAAGTGGGAAAACTATTTGTACAGTTTCAGGCATCTGTAGACAAATCCACTTTTTGAAACTCTATAAAACCTTTTTTTTTACATTTTTACATGGAGGAGGAAAAAGCTGGTGTTTCACAACACACATCTATCATAAAGTTTACAATCCATTCTGCTGGATGCAAATACAGATTTCTTGCATGTGTAATATCTTTGTTAACCATAAGACAAAGCAGGCTCTACATAGGAGATTCAGCTAAATACATGCAATTATCAGCTGCAAAAACAGAAGATCTTTGAGATACTGAAGTTCACACACAAGAAGTCTTAATTTAGATATTCTCTGATCCCATTGTGCAAACTCAGGCATAAAAACCCTGGCATGGATTTTGTAAAAAAAAAAAAAAAATCTATACCAGTGATGGCAAACCTTTTATGCACCGAGCGCCCAAACTCTGCATGTGCCCAAACTGCAAGGCACATGCATGTGCAAACATGCACACATGTGCAGCGGAGACATGAAGACCAGCTGGACAGCAGGAGGCAGGGCATCCCAATACCGGCAGCTCTGCCAGAGGTGAGAGCTTTTTCTTTTGTGAGCCTTTGTTTCGTCGTTTGCAGGGAAACAGGAGCTCACGAAAGAAATGCCACGGAGAGCTGAGCTGGGGCAATGGCATGCATGCCAGCCAAGAGGGCCCTGCGTGCCACCTCTGGAACATGTACCATAGGTTCGCCATCATGGATAAAGATTGCTCAAGAAAATATTGGGAAGGAGAGAAGTGCTTTCTATTTTTAACCTATCTATGTTCTTAGTTAAGGAACTAAACTCCTTAACTAATCTCCTGCTTAAAATGGATCCTTATGCAACACCTTCCCTCTGGGCAATGGCAAGGGATGCAAGTTAGGTGAAGTGCTTAAATCAACTCCTCAAAAATAAAATCACCAAAGCTATTGGTGGCACAGGGGTTAGAATGCAGTTTTGCAGGCCAACTCTGCCCCCTGCCAGCAGATCCTGACCAGCTCAAGGTTGACTAAGCCTTCCAGCCTTCCAAGGTCGGTAAAATGAGGACCCAGATTGTTGGGGGCAATAGGCTGACTCTGATTCGAGAACAAGAATAAGAGAATAAAAATACAATGACAGGGACGATAGGCACATTAGTGCACTTCTACAACCCCCCCCCCCTTACTATTACTGTGTGGTTTGGAAGTAATACTATTTTGGACAGGAAGGCTGTGCAGAGTTTGGTTAGGACAGCAGAAAACATCAAATTCAGCTGTAGTGGTGCAGTGGTTAGAATTCAGTAGTGCAGGCTACTTCTGCTGACTGCCAGCAGTTCAGCAGTTCGATGTTCACCAGCTCAAGGTTGACTCAGTCTTCTAAGGTCGGTAAAATGAGGATCCAGATTGTTGGGGGCAAGAGGCTTACTCTGCAAAACTGCTTATAAAGGGCTGTAAAGCACTATGAAGCAATATATAGGTCTTTGGGCTATTGCTATTATTTTAAAATAGGAGCAGTAAGCAAAGCAGAATGAGGCCTTCGAAAACCTGGGGCTTAGCCAGCCAATGGAACAACCAGATTATTATTTTTAAAGAATAAGGAATTATTATTACATGACTAGAAAATGATCATACCAGCCATATTTAATTTTAACAACCAAATCAAAACAAGTTGAGTTTGTAACCTGGTCCCACTCACTACTTTTCAGCATAATCCCCAGCATACAGTTAGATTGTGGCCTTGGACCCAAGAAAAAAATGTTGATTTTTTAAATGTGCATCTATATATTAAAATGTCAGTTTGATTTACTGGATGAGAAAGACTGCAATGACAAAGAAATTAGAAGCTACAGCAGCTTTCACTATCCCACATATTTCTTTTATATCCTGATTGGCCAGAGCTCCTGAACGGTAGGCCTTTCTCATCTACTACAGACAGTATCTCCAACATTGTGTCCTCTTTACTGTTTACAAGGGTAGCATATCTGATGAATCACATTTTTCAGACTGCAATGTGATTCTTCAAAAGCTGGTACACATCCATTAACATTCTGCCTTTCAAGTTTGAAAATCAATTCACATCTGAAGTGAGACTGTCCTAGTCAAGGACCTCAAGAAAATAAATTAAACGCTGGGATTCACAAAAAATACTCTGGAAAAAGAGAGCATTAAGAAAGCATCTTCAGGACCTTGGAGAGCTCACTAGAGGAAGTTATTGATTGGGTAGTCAATTAAAAAGGGTATTTCAGCATTTTTTGGAACCAGCTGGGTTTTTAGAAGGCTGGCAGGAACAGTAGATGCTTTTAGCTTAGTCCTACATTTTTATATATATATTTATACACACATTTGTACTACCGTTGGACTAGAAAAATATCGTTAAATGGTCATAAATTGAGGAAGGCCTCTATAGGAGAGTTGTCTTCTGAATAGTTCAGACTGAGAAAATGATACTCCTATACAGGTATCTCAATTTATGACTATCAACTAATAGGAAGGCTACAATCTGAGGTTTGAATGGCAAAAAAGAGAGAATACTGATGGCTTCCTTTGAATTAGAACTAAAGAGTTCAATATGCTCAGAATTTGCAAGGGTTTTGCTCAATGTGGAAACACGGCAAAAGATTCTCAAGCACTATACAAGCAACAATAAAGCAGGGATGTAAACCTTGTTAACATTCATACTTCAAGAAACATTCAAGAATATGGAATCACCAGAGAAAAGAACCTTTTTGAGCTTTCTGAACAGGACAGAACTTTTATTTTTCATTCAGAGTCAAGAACTGTCTCCCACTCAATTGATCCACATGCGTTACTCACAGATAAGGGAGAAAGATGCTCACCTCAATGCCATAGCAGAAGTCAGCCCCTGCTGTCACTGCCATCATGGACAAGAGTCCAGTGCCAGTCCCAATATCCAGGACAATGGCTTTTTCCCCTCTCTCTTTCACTCTTCTAACTGCAGCACGAATACCTTGAAAATACTTCATGTTCTGTTAAAAGAAAGAAGGACCCATTATTCCACTGTGTTCCTATTTCTTAGGCCTGGACAAATGCACCCTACCGCGAGAGTTTGGGGACCTGTGATCATTTGCAAAACAATGAATTAAAAGATAAACTTTCTGAAAGATGTTCTATATAATTCCAGATGTGACCTTACCAAGTCCTACAGGAGAAAAACTACCCTAAGCATCTAAAATTCAGTTTGAATAATTGCATACAGACAATCTGAAAATAAGAAGGCAAAAATACTCAATACTTTAATGTTTTGGTTTCTGCCTCACAATTTAAGGCACAACAGAATGGAAGTTCATGGAGCCACATAAGGAATTTCAACACCTAATAAAACACAGCTAAAATAAATAAATAACTTACTCGGTCCTTGTCATTCAACATATCTGCATAGCAGGACCTGTAAAGAAAATTCAGTTTTCAGATCAAACACAATAGATTCAGAAAGCTGCCAAGGAGTGCCAACATTATCAGAAAACAGACGGGATGAACAATTCCTATTATGACATATACCATGTTTTCCCGGAAATAAGACAGTCTTATTTTCTTTTGACCCCCGAAATAAGCTCCTAGCCTTATTTTCAGGGAGGTCTTATTATTTTTGTGGTGCAGGAGGTGGCGAGCGTGGTCACTTCATGGCTGCTGCTGTGTTGCAATACTTTCGGGAAGGGCTTATTTGGGGGAGTGTGCTTATTTCAGCGCATGCGCTCAAAAGCCCGATTGGGCTTATTATCCAGGGAGGTCTTATTTTCAGCGAAACAAAGTATATGAACGCACCAAACATGAACGCACAATGATTGCACTGCTGCTTATAAAATGACAGAAAGAAAATATCACATTTATGCACAGAAACCTGTGCAGTAACGCACAGGAAATGGGACTCATGCTCAAAAAGAAAGCAAAATTGGATCGAAATCAAGAGTGGGAGTGGATGTATCCTTGAGATAACTTGGTTCAAAGCTCTATAGAGCCTCAACAAGCACCCTGAATTGCACCGACAAGAAAACTAGTGACTCATACAGTTCCAAAAACAGGTCACCCACTATTATCTAGATGTACTCACCATTTTCTAAACCACCCATCAGATCCATGAATCTGCCATTCTTCAGGGGAAGTGGGGGGACCCTGATTCATTATGCATCTTTATTGTACTTTATATACTTTTATATTTCATTACTCTCTCTCCTATATATCCTGCATCCTGTAACCATTGATTTATAACCTTAGCCTGATGCCTAGGCATTTTCTCAGCTTTTGGGGAATGTAAGGGAAGGGAGGGCCATGTGGGTTGTATCCAGTGGTGGGATTCAAATAATTTAACAACTGGTTCTGTGCCCTAATGATCACCTGGGTAGGCGGGGCTCAGTGGTCATGTGACTGGGTAGGCGTGGCCATAATGTCACTCATGTGGATGGGTGTTTCGCCTTAGCTGTGACAATGTAACAGGGGGTTAACCGGAGAGGCAGTTTCTGTAAGCAGGGCAATAAAGATTAGGCTAGAAACAACACCAGAATGTTTCCTTCCTGCCTTCCTTACAGGATTAGCCCTGTAAAATGGAAAAAAACAAAATGAGATTTCTTCCAACAACCGGTTCTCCCAACTGCTTAGAAAGTTAACAACCGGTTCTCTCGAATAGGTGCGGATCGGTGAATCCCACCACTGGTTGTATCACTCGAAATCCAGCAGAGGATGACCTTATCAGTTCCCTTATCATTTTCTCAGAGTGGCCGGTACAATAACATCTTCATACCTGCGGACTGCCTGAACCCACACTGGACTGTTGGGAGGGTTTCTAATTCCTTTTATTCTAATTGTATGGCCTGAGGCCCTCAGAGCCTGCTTTGATTTTACCCTTGATATCAAGAGTCTTTACTTTCTTGAATAAGGAGGAGAGGCCTTGCCTTATACCACCTCAATTTGCATCTGAATGGTTTTCAAGAGCAGTGTGTATAAACTGTATTACAGAAGTCCAGACGAGAGATAAGTCAAGTCTTCAATGATCATCAGTAAAACATTGTTTATTCAGGAATGGTTGCAATTTGTGCAAAAACCTTGGCAACGTGGAAGATTCCCAGGTCACGCTGACTGGGGAATTCTGGCAATTGAATTCCACAAGTCTTCAAATTGCCAAGGCTGGACACTCTGAACTAGAAGAATACCAT